CGTTTCTGACTTGGAGTTTAGTTCGAAAATAGATATTTTTGCGTGATCCATGGAATTTCATTCCATTCTCTTACGTTTATAGCGTTTTGTAACATGTAGATGTAATAACGAAATATGGTTACTTTTCTGAAACGTGTAAACGGATATGAATTCTGTATAGAATTATTAGAATTTCACAAGATATGAGTGTGGATGAAAAGACATATTTTCTTTTTCCCCGTTTTGGGGTGCTATATCGCAAAAAAACAATATTTCACGAGTCCTAAGTACGATTTTCTATCACATAAACAAAAATTTCAAAGGTGACTCGACAGCAACTCTTTTTTGATCACACAGTAGTTCTGTCATAGGTATTTTGTAAAATCCGTGGTTCTGTAAAGTGCCTAGGCAGTTTATAAAACGCGGGCAACCTGTAGCACACAGTGTACTTTCTAGGGCTTAAGCGATTGGGTTCCCTTCCCTTTCGAGAGCCATAACTGGTATCCCTTATCTATCTAGAAGGGGAAGGGAAACTACCTCACACGTCGAATTGTCAGCGTTTCACGAAATGAGTTTGTATTTTATAAAATGACGGATTTTACAAAATGCCTACGGCAGTTCTAATGATTTATTCAAATATAAGCAGTCTAAAAAATGAGGTATGCAAACTTCTCTTGTTAACCGTTTAGTTTTATTATTATTTCCATTTGCAACCATAGTAGTGAAAAAAAATCGCAAATGTTAGTGAGTAAAATGAGACAATTGAAAGAATTTGATTGGACAATATTGAATTCCCAATCGATTTCTGAATTCTATCAGTTCAATCAATTTGGCACAATCCGTACCTACTTTGGATTTTTGTTTGTTACTTATTATTATTTTCTTGTTAAATTAATTCAATTAAAAATGTATTCGAAAATCTTCTGCCTTGAGACTCTTGAATATTGCAGTGATCCAGTGTATGATTAAATATCACCATATAGTGAAAGAACATGTTTAAATAATCATATAGGTACATGTATCTTTTATGACGGTCAAAATTCAGTTACTACTAACTACGATCAAAATCCCCTTATCAACCGTTTAACAAATTCTCTTCAACACTTCCCCTCGATATTAGTGTACGCCTACGCTATAGCTCTAAAATAATTTATTTAAAAAAAAAATTGTTACCGGTTCAAACCGGGTTTTTCATGCAGGTGAAATGATTAGAAATTGGGGAAAAATAATTAAAACAGCAGAATTTTTCCGCGGGTGAAATCCCGGGGATTGAAAGGGGTAGAAAGTGGAGTTTTGCAAATTGTGGCAAAACTATTCATTTTAGGAGAAAATGTTTAATTTAAAACTTTTAGAGAATGAAAAATGAACCACTTTTGGATCTGCACCATTTTCACATAACCTCCAATTTTCCTAGAAAAACCGGAAAATCTGTTTTTTTTTGTTTTGTATTCTTATTTTTGCAAGAAAAAGTCGTAGGGGTTTGAAATTTGGAGGAAACATAGCTTGTTGTATGATAAAAAATGGGACAATTTTTTGTAGATCCGTAAAGTTTTCTTTAACAAACCCCTTTTGTTCAAGGAGATGAAAAATTAATTTTTTCATCGTACACAGTTGCTCCAGGTAAAATTTTCGTAAGGAGTTATATTTTAATAATCATACATAATAAATATTATTCCAATAGAAAAATTTCAAGAAAAACGGCAAAAACTGGGGGAACAGTTATAGCAGAGCAGAGCAGTATAACAGTAAGATATACACGGTTTTTGACATTGGTAAATAGCATTTTTGCTATTAAATTAACTTATTGGATCCGTGGTAATAAAGAGTTTTTGAAATCTGTCTTCTATCTCCCCTTTAATGTTGCTAAAATATTTTCTTTTGTTTCCTAGTGCCGCAACTGCCTTATTAATTAAAATATCTTCTTTATTATTTCATTTTTCTGAATTTTTACCGCAATAAAAGCAATTCGAAGTAAAATCGAAATATTTTGTTTCCTGAAATTTGTTTTTGTTCACTAACTCTTCTTCCTGCCTGTTTTACAAATTATACCTGATGCGATTGCGCTGGGTCTGTTGATCGTTAATTTACAGAAATTATGAATAAAATCCTTATGAAGTTTATTCCAGGTTTTATCTCTCAAATCATTTATTGCTTTGGCCGGTACAACTAACGTTCTTAGTGCAGATTTTGAAAGTTTTTCAACCGACCCTGCGTAATTGCACCAGCTGTGAAATAGGCAGGAAGAAGAGTCAGTCAACAATAACAAATTTGTTTAAGAAGCAAAAATAATACGATTTTACTTCGAATTTGCTTTTATTGCGGTAAAAATGACTAAAAAAGAAATAATAAATATGTGTTAACTAAAACAGTTGAGCATAAAGAAACAAAAGAGAATATTTTAGCAACTTTAAAGAGAAGCAAGAAGACAGATTTCGAAAAAATCTTTATAAATATCCAACACCTTGATTTATGTTAAAAACCGTGTATATCTTAAAACTGTTTTTCCAGTTTTTGACGATTTTCTCGAAGTTTTTTTATAGGAATAATATTTTTTTATTTTTGTTTATTAAAATTAAAATATAAGTTTTCCCAAAAATTAACCACGCGCACCTCTGTACGATGAAAAAAAAATGTATTTTTCATCCCATTGAAAAAGAGGTGGTTTTTTCAGAAATCGTGAGATCTCTGGAACGGTTCAACTTTACGGGCTCAAGAAATTGTCTCCTTTTTTAATCATAAAACAAGCTATGTTTCCTCCAAATTTCAAACCCCTGCGACTATTTTTCGTAAAAATAAGAATAAAAAACGAAAAAAACAGTTTTTCCGGTTTTTCTAGGAAAATTGGAGGTTATGTGAAAATAGGGCAGATACAAAAGTTCATTTTTTTATTCCCTATAACTTCAAAATTGAATATTTTCGCCTAAAATTAATAGTTTTGCCACAAATTGCCAAATACCACTTTCCACCTCTCTCCACCCCCGGGATATCACCCACAGAAAAATTCAGCTGTTTTAATTATTTTTCCCTAATTTCAAACTGCATGAAAAACCCGGTTTGAACGCTAGCATGAGGACGGTGGTATACGTGCGTCATATTTTACATCAAGCCAAGTCTTGCGAGTTACGAGAGACGCCTAATTAGTAACTAGTAAACTAAACAAACTGCGCAACACGGCAGGAAAGCAATTAATCATAATTTGTAATTTCTAAACAAACCAATTTATCATAACAAACCTCTTATTTCGATCCGGCTAGGAGATGTGGACTTTAACTCCAAAAATAAAAAACTCGATTATTGTGTCCACTTTCACCATCAAAAGATATTTTCCAGGCCACTTCATCAAAAAGTTACCTTCATGCAATAAACATGTCCATGCACTCTCGTAATACACTAAGTTTGGCGATTAATAGTTCGAGCACATCATCAAAAAGCAAATAACATGCTCGTCAAAGGGAAATATTTGAAAAACATAGATACTATCGGGAATAGTAGGTATATTATATACCAAGGAACTAAAGTGTGTATTGTAATCCCGATGGTGTACATTGTTGCCCGAAAGGGAGTTGGAGGCAACAAGCACCCGAGGGATTAGGACGCATCTTTAGTCCTGGACGCTATTTTTTGTACTCCGGTAATCAGCTACAGCAATTTCAATGTTAAAGTGCAAATTTGAAAGAAAAAATTTGTTTAATTGTATAAGATCAATGTACAATGTCAAATTATGATAGGATAATGATAAATGCCAGTTTCATTTAAAGATTCTATGTTCGAAACTACGGCGTATAAATGATCGTTTAAAACTATGAAGAACAAGCTATAAGGAAACCTACTGCCTCCCAAATTCAAAAAGATATAATATGCAAAACAGTATGATAAGTGTAAAATATGGGGCAAGAATAAAAATGTACATGTTAAACAAAAGAATTCCAAATCGTCAAAAATGCGGGCGATTCTCAAAATAAATAAAAATTGAAGCTTTGGCGGTATCAAAATCGAGAGCGAATCCAGAAAAAAATTTCGATATAAATAACTCTTCCGCACCTCCAGTCACGCACAACAAGATGGAAAGCAAAATGGAAACTTAAACAAGGAAAAAAATTTGGGGAAAAATCAGGGAACGGAGACTAAGCGGAAATAAAAAAAAAACAAGAAAATAAATAGTAAGAGATTAAAAGGGTGAAAAAAGATAGAGAAGGGAGAAAAACAAAAAGATTTGTAAGAGGGAACTAAAAGAAAGATTAAATACAATTTACAACATTAAAAGAATTCGGAAGGTAACCAACAAAACCCCAATAAAATCCCTAAATTTTAACGCTAACTTAAAGTAAAAGCAAACGAAAACTTGAGGAAATCCTTTAAAATTCGGATTCGATGAAGTAAAACTAAAAGAATTCGCAGATCGTTTTGTGGCAAAACAACCAATTCATTGATTTTTACCACAAGACGATCTTCCAACGTTAATTACGTTTTCTGTTTTTCGTGTCAACCACAAGATTGAAAAACAATTCCGCTTCAATGTGAAACTCAAGAAGCCTGTGAAAGGTTCGTTTATTAAACTTTTGTCTTATTGGATTTTTAAGTTATTACAATAAAAGCTTATTAATTATTGTAATAATCAATTTAGTATGTCTGTAGGCAATCATAGTTTATCTTTCATTATTCAAAAGACAGGAAATACTCTCCTAATAATACAAAGGTTTAATATTGGGCCTTCTTCATTTTCGAAGATATCATTCGTGCAAGGAAAATTACCTCAAATTGAAGTCTTCATTGAAATTTGCCTGCCAAATACCCGAGGGCGCGCAAACCTTTAATTATGGTGTACACTTTCCCCCTTTAAATACAACTTAATTGGATTGTTAATTACCCTTAAATACCTTTAAATTGTAAAATACTTTTATTCTATAATTATAGAATTAATTCTATTAATTATAGAATTTATTCTTTTAAATGTTCTTTGAATACCTTTGAGTATCATTAAATAGTTTTAATGCGTTTAAATACTTTTTCAATATTTCAAATATGAAAAGAACTAACGAAGTTTTGCGTGAGCTAACGAAGTTTTATATCACTCAAACAAATGTATCAATATAGGCGACACCGTGTCCTTTCCACGTGAAAACAAAATCGCCGTATGGGTGATAGAGGGAATCAAACTTGTCCAGGATCAAATGCCTACGCTAGATCAAATTAATGATATTGTTGATAATATAATATTAAAAGGCAATTAAGTGATACCAAAGAGTTAGGAAATGGACGTTGAAGGATATGACTGGATAAATATCCGTATCCGTACCCAATATCGATGGTGAATATATCGAGGAGAGCCCAAGCGACGAAGAGATGATGGAAGAACTCGTGGAAGAAGTTGTAGAAGAAACATCAGGTACCTAATAAACAACTTTTAAGCCTAATTTAACTTTTAATATTTTAGAAGATGATGGAACCAAGCAAATAGAGCAGCAAAGTAGTCAGTGTTTTGAAGACGAGTATGAAGATGATAAGGACCAAATAGATATTGACGACAATTTTCTTGTAAGCTTACCTGATTACATAAGAAATAATGAAGAAGTAATTTCAGAAAATAGTCAATATGTTGTCCTAAAGGGAAGTAACCTCGGAAGTAACAAAAAAGAAGTTAAAATTAAAAAATCTACATTGTTGTGGTTTTTAATCAACCCAGAAAGAAAGCTAAGTTCTGACAGAATACAAAGAGTAAGAGATGTAAAAACGAATGTTAGTTCAAGTTCGGGTGTAAAAGTTAGAAGCAATCGAACTAAGAAAAAAACAGTAACTATTAGCGAAACAGATACGGAAGATGAAGAAAGCTTTAAGTCAGGTTCATCCGATGACCAATGGGAAGAACAACATGACGACAACGATGATGATTTAGAAAGTACAAATGTATTAACAAATGGTGACTGGATTCTGGTAAAGTTGCCAGGCAAAAAATGTTTTAAGCACTTTATTGGACAGATTTTAAAAATTAATAAAAGTGAACTGACAATAAAGTTTTGTAAAAAATACTCTGATAATAAATTCAAATGGCCAGAGAAGGAAGATATTGCTGTTGTGAATACCATCTTCAGTGCCGAACTGTATGCCATATGGCAAGCTCTGCTTTTCTGCCTTATGAGCAATACAGAGGAGAGCTTTGCTATTGTAAGTGATAGCCAGGGCGCATTAAATAGTATTAAATCTCGATTTCCTCGGGACCCACTAGTGCAAAGGATTCAGGCTGTTTACAGCAATGTTGTCGAGGTTGGGAAAAGCATTTTTTGGATTTGGGTACCTGGCCATGTTGGTATACGTGGCAATGTGATGGCAGACGAAGCTGCTAAAAGAGCCACGGGAGTGAGACATGTGGACGTTCAGGTAGTGAGGCATCTGGACCTAAAAGCAGCTTTAAGAGCAGCATTAGTACACCCTAAACCATGGAGACCACCACTATACTTCTCAGTAGGATTGAGCGAGTGAAAATCCACCGCTTAAGAATCGGTCATACGCAAATAACGCACGCCCATCTGTTACGCGGGGAGCCTCCTACGGTTTGTGTACGCTGCGGTAATCAAATGACTGTTGAACATATCCTAAGGGAGTGTCCGGTACTGGAGCCCATCAGGCAATCTTTTCATTTAATAGATGAAGTAGGAGAAATACTCAAACAGCCACAACATCTTAAAAATGTAATAAAATACCTAAGGTCTGCAAATATATTCGACATGTTATGATTTATACAGTATTTACAATAGGCTAATGACCAAGTGGTCGACGCCTTAAATAAACAAAAAAACAAAAAAAAAAGAAGGATGTAATCAAGCAGATTCCCCAACCAAATTTTAATTTTAAAAATAATCGTTTATTGTTTTTCACTTTTAATGTATCGTTTGCGGGATATAATGTTTACTAAAATGTAAGTTATGTAGATCACGATAGGTACTTAAAAAATGTTTCTATTTTAAATATTGCATGGTACAACGAAGCATGAAATAAGGTAATCCAATTTATTAAGCACATTTTGATGCCATAACTGTGGGATGAAGAATGTTTTACATTAAAGTTTTCAACACTTTGCGCACACTTTTGATGTTAAAAGGTAGTTACTTTCAAAGTTGTCGGTCAAAATCTCGGTCAAAATTGATGCCGTGTCTGGCGAAATGCCCTGTAATTGGCTTACCCTTGTTGTACTATGGTAATATTCCTTGAAGTTACAGATAGTGTATACCCTAGCATGTACATTTAAGTACATATTAAATCCATTTCAGTGACTTTTAATTATTTAAATACCTTTTAATTTCCTTAAATACGATTTAGTACTTTTCAATATCCTTTAAATACTTTGAATATCAGAAATAATTTTAAATTCTTATTAAATATTTAAATATTCTTTAAATATAATTTAATTACTTTAAATACAAATTTATTGTTTTAAATACCAGGATATTTAATTATGGTGTACGTTTTGCATTCTACTTGCGCACCCCTCGCAAATACCTCACTAAGTTTCTATACCTAAGCAACATTCTGCATATAAAAAAGTTCAGACAAATTGTGCCAGTAGTTCCTTAAAAAAGGACGAACTCCACAAAAAGTTAAAGAGTTCAATGGTTAAAGTGAATCATATGTAAAGAATTTTTTTATCTAAACGGAGAAATGCAAATGGATGAGTTGAAACGGTTTAGTTTCATAATCCGAGGGTTAAGGTTTTCATTCATTGCCAACACCTGATGAGCCTAGATAATATTGTTCTGGGGATATATAGTGGAGATAAGATAGATTTAATTCGCTAAAATCATTTGCTCACACCGCCATTTCTTATTTCATTTTGGTAAATAATACAGATAGAGAAAAGTCGAATAATATGTAGCCCTCACTAAATCCGCACATTGCATTATGTATAACTGTTTTCCTTTCATATTAATTCCCCTTATAATAATAACATAGTTGTTGGTGAAAGGGAAGAAGAAACATCCCCGTTAATAACTTAATCTACAAGAACATTGACTGCATACAAGGATGGTTCTAAAGACTACTTTTAATCAATTAAATGATTAAACCGGAACATTATAAAAATTACCAAATTAATAGCGCCTAGCATTCTGATGCCTAGCCATAAACATTTCTCGGTGACTTTTACTGTAAGCACGTCTATAAATCAAGCTTTAACCAATTATAATCAGTCAGAAATTGCCATATTTAAACTAATCCGTACGGTTATGGTGGAACAAAAAATAAATTACATAATCCGAAAATTAATCAGGTTTCCAGTTATCGAAGCTGGTAATCTCGTACTGAAGATGTTTGACCAGCAGTTACATTATTCGCTTTGAATAATAAATCAATTAATGGTATAAGGTGGTAAAATTACACGTAACAACATCGAGCGGCGATGCGCGGGTGAAAGAAGATCGAGAACAGGAAATAGACACTTTTTTGCATCGGGTTAAAATACTCGATTGGAATTAGTTCAAACCATATTTCGCTTTGGGAGGGCATCCAGAATTTGTGAAGAAAAAGTGGTCCTCTCATCAACGTCATATAAAATTCGACTCATTACACAGCAAATTTACGGCTTCCTATATGGCATTGAAAAATATATTTGCACTGTGTAGATGAATCGGACGACACAATAAATAATTGCATTAATTGCTTGAAATACCTAGCCTAGTGAATACCCGCGGACAATATTTATCTGCAAACCTCGTTTTTAAATCCAATTTAATTAAACTGCGCACCAGGTTACCAAGTTAACCTTTGAGTTTCGTTCTATTCAACAAACACGGACGATAAATACGTACGTAATTACAGTATAAATTCTATTAATAAACGAATACTAAATTCAATTTAAAACGTATAACGAAACCTTTTACCATAATAAATTGATATAACACATCCTTAAATTTGGAAGAAAAAACTCATAAATTATTAGCGTGGGTAATTAGAGGAATCTAAATGTGTACGTGCCGCGTTTTTTATATGCATTAAAAGTAACGGTAATGAAATCAAAGAACGAGAATAAGTACCGTTAAGTAAAGCTACAGTGAACTGGGATGTACAATATGGTTAATTATCACACGAGTTGATGCGATTGAGGATAATTACGTTTTATATCAAAATATTATTCGTCTAATGAGGTATGGACACCCCATTGTTACCACGTACTAGAAATGGATATGTTTCCAAATCGGACCTTAATCCTGTTTTATAATGGGAAAGCACACGCACTAATAAATTATAAGATTTACGCCCCATCACTGTGTGTAGCTTCCGAATTTGTCCTAATGCTCAATATAATTCATAAATCAAGTGTTTAGAAACCTATAAGAAATGCCCATAAATCGTTTTAATTAAACCACACAACGGCCACAAATGAATGACTGTTTGTAACTTTGAAGTACATAAAATATTATCAACTTAGGAAATTTCAAGACTAATTTGCCATTTTTTAACTTAGTGAACGTAATTGACAATTTAATCCGATAATTATTACGAAAATGGTTTAACACGAAAAAGGAAAAAGTGGCATTATTTAAGATTGTGGTTTAAAAAAGGACTTACCTTTACGCGCGTGTTTCTTCTTCATGAGTTCCAATATCTGCTCCACAAAATGGCTATAACCACACGAAATAATGGGGATGCTCACTACCGTAGTCACAAAAATTCCACGCAAAAGAGCGAACGACACTGTTAACGACGACCGATATTAGAGAATGACTAACTTTTAATTTAGCGCATTTTTGAAAGCCCACCTGCGACCTTCCTTATCTAGTCTTACTTGATACGCAGGTTAGTCGGTTCGATTCGGAAATATGTACCAAATATCGATGCGCAAATTTCAACACGTGTGGACTGATTCATGAAATCATTCGGTAAATAAAATAGTCAAGTGACACTTGATAATAACAACGTTCAGGAAGAAAATAGGTACTTACAGTGCTCATTCTGCGTTTGTACATAAAAATAACTGACCTGTTGCAAATTTGCAATTTCTGTTTCTTCATTGAGTTAAACTACAATTTTGAAACAACTTACACGATATGGAATATAGATTTTCGCATAAGGTTGTTATATTAACTATATGGTATAGTACATATTTATGTGATGAACTAAGGTCTTCATCCCCATACTCGACGATTCAAATCAAGGATTTTATTAAAACTACGAGCTTAGGAGATTTTGATAACATTAACATCAAATTTTAGAACACATTTCGGCCAGGCGGAATCTAAAGTTTGTTGGGGGTGAGGGATAATATTTTATTTTAGGCAAGAACTCCAAGGTAATTATTTTTTGAGTTATTTTCTTTACAAGCAAGTAAAAGGGCAGGTGGTAAGTTTACATTTGTATACGGTACGCCCCCCCCCTCCTCTTCTCATTTCATATATGTATACATGACGCTTATGGGACAATAAAGCGAAAAATCCGACGGCCCATTTGGAATATTCCCCCAAACACACAACGATATTATGGTAGTTCAGGGAAGGATTCAATGGTCAATTATCGATAAAATATATATATAACTCTCGCCAGGAAAGATTGCCGGTCACAGAACACTTGATCCCGATCTACAATCTCTGTTTTTCGTAAGGTGCTCGCGACTTCCGGGATAGTATCGTGTCAATGTTGAACAAAAAGATTTTTTGTTCAACATTAGCATGATCCTAGTCCAGAAGTCGCTCGCATCTTAATCAAAACAAAGATTGTAAATCGACACAAGGTGTTAAAAAGTTGTTTTTTTCAAATGAAACCTTTATTTTTTTGCACTTTCAAATGTGGAAAGAAAGTAAACATCGATCAATTATTACATTCTCTATATACGTATCTGTAATGGTTGGTGGTGATGTTACATCATCACGTCAGTATTGTTGATTTTGGAAGACTTTTTGAAATTCAAGTCAACGGAGCCATAGGTACAGGGCGCTAAAGAGAAACACTCAAACGTCAAACATTTTGAAAAATCTTGACTATCTTGAAAGCTTTTGATGCGAAGTATACAGGGAAATGTGGTATCAAACGACTTTTGCGTGGAACAGCCTATATACGAGTACTATTCCCCAGAACGTTCGGTGCCTATTACTCGCCAGGAATGGAAGATTGGACGGTCTTTTACGAAACACTGTCATAAAAGTTGTGAAAACTGAATGTGTTGAGGGAGAATGTACCACCGGAGAGTCTGGGGGGTATGAAATACACACGACACGACGATATTATGATAGTTCTAGGAAAAGATTCAATGTTTAATTATCATAAGAACTTTGTATATTTGGTATTCCATAACCCCTCAAACCCCCCGGTTCTAAAAAAAAATTGGACGATCCTCTACGAAAGGCTTCTGCATGACTGTAAAGTGCATGAAGCACCAATTGTTCAAGCAGTAACCTAGAACATCCACCTTATAGTCCCAATCTGGCCCCCTGCGACTCGCATCTTTTTCAAAAACTCAAAAAACGCATAAGAAAGAGAGAAAGAAAGAGATT